ACCCCCCAAAAAAAGGAGCTCTGTTGAAGATTCGCAAACCTTTTATCCAAATTCCTCTATACTTTAATTGACATCCAACCGCAATTATTTACCATCATCCTTCGTATACCACAAAAGTTCCTAGACGTCTTCTTGGAGGCGAATACATGAGAGAAATGTAATAGGGGGGAGCCGGGATGCTTCATAATGTGCTATTGATTTTTACCTCTTTGGTCCTTTGGATAAGTATGTCTTTTGCCATTCTGCCAATCTCTTTCAGCTTTTTCAATTACAGATTTCCAACTAAATAATCATTATGCAAGGATCTACTGGCATATTTAGATATGATGTAGGTAGTAACCTGATATTGCAATTGAATACAGGTTTCAATTGTCCATCTTTCCCACTGGGATAAATTCATATATTTAAATGGATCTTCAGTCTTAATACCACATCGAATCAGAAAAGAATATCTCTCCCAGATATTATAATTACGATTCATCTCAATTGCAAGACTTAAGAGTATCATCAACGAAGTAGATGTGTGACTCATAGACTATCTTCTCCCTTCAGGCTAGTTTTGAACCCATCAACAGTAATTGCTAAGAAACCATTGAGAATTCACCTTCGATATGCAGAACTTCCCACGTCATCAATCTCACTCTCTGAAGTCCATCTTTATTATCGCGAAGTAAAAAATGCCCAATTTACGTTGTGGAATGGCTTTTCAAGATCCAACTTGCATAGCACTTTCTCTGTACTACTTTCTTCCGGAGTCCACCAGCTGCTTTGCTTCAGTAAAACATCTAAAGAGTTTCCTTCATCCCACAGGCACATTTTGAGAGGTAGCATCGTGTCAAATTTTACGTTCTTTAGTCTCATTGCAAGCATGTTAACAATAATCTTGCAATTGCTTCTAACTAAGACAAGGGGATCTAAAGTCTTTGGTTTTACTGCTCCATCCTTCATCAGTGTTATTGCTATTGTTGAGGTGGGTATGGCCATCTCATCAAAAAGTTTAAATTGTTATAAAGAGCACAATTTTATTAATCTAATCGTGTTTTAACATGTCCTTCACGTGTAGGTTTTGTTCTTTTTAATGACCCAAGCACACGAAGAGTTTCTTTCATAATGGTGGCAAGTCTTGAACCTAGGACTTCTGTCTACTCTACTCTGGTACCTTGTTAGAGTGTCCCACGACATTTAAGAGAATCGGTTGTTGTCTCTTTATATTTTCTCGAACATTTATCACCTCATGAACTATATTTTAGGTTTGGGTTATGCACGTTCACTTTGGTCATAGTATATAAGTCAAATGTGTCCCTATTCTTGATTTGTTCAATATTGATCGTCATCTGATGTTATCCGTGGTCTAAATGCCCAGTCTTAGGCGTGCAAGGGGAG